GCTGGGCAATCAGACCCCCAGTGGCCCTTTTTGTGGCATCTGGGGCATGGGGTGGTAGGAGATCTGGGGGAGGGGCATGCCCTTGACGAATGTCGTTATCGTCTGCACTTGAAACAAGCTCCTGGGGGGCGCTTGTTTGTAGAAGGGTGCCCAGGTTGTGGTTTTATCAGCTGGGCCAACATTTGGAAATTGGGCTGATCAGCCTTTTGTTTACGGCGTTCTTTCTCCTCCTCCCAGTTATGGAAGACTTTAAAGGCCACTGTTAGGATCTCAGTCTGTGGGGTAGCAGGGCCCTGTTCTAACTTTTTGAGTTTAGCTTTAATGGGGTAGCTTTGAGCTAGGAAGTATGTCATAAGGACATGTCTTCCGTCAGGCGTTTCTGGGTCAAGGCTGGTATACTGTAATAGGGCTTGAGTGAGTCTGTCTAAGCTACATCGTGGAGGGGGGCGATAATTTTGGGAGGCCCTCGGGACCGAGTCTGAGGGGGACTGAAGGGTTCTGGCTCAGTCTGTGGGGGAGTGACGTGGTCCAGCTGCGCCTAGTCGAGCAGGTCCTGAAATGCGGAAGGGGGGCGAAGAAAATAAAGATAGAAAGAACTGGGAGGGCTGATGCTCCCACACGTCGCCAGCCAGTAGCCCAGCTGCTTGCCTCTGCCGCTCCAGTTGGGCTTGAACTCATGACTCTGAAGTTAAAAGTCCCATGCTCTACCAACTGAGCTACAGCAGGGCTCCAGTTAGTTGCTTATGGAATGCGTAAACAATGTTTTTTGTTCTCTATTCCTGCCACATTGGCAAGTAGGGGAAGGGCAGAGCTAGAAGCAGGGGCAGTGTTTCTACACATCTTCAAGGTCTCCCTATTTTCAGAGTGAGGAGTCTTGGCTCGTCTTCGAGGACAAGATATGTTTTTGTGGACAGATAAGTTCCAAGGACTGCACTGGTTGTTCTCAAGGTTGTGCTTTCCCATGCTGCATTCAGACATGGAGGAAGGTGCTTTCTCATTCTGCCTACAAACATGTGAGAAGACAAAGGCGGTCCCCAACAGGGGAGAAACAGGTGATGAGGGCAAAGACAGAGGAGGCCCCCAGGACCTAGTTAAAGGGGTGCTGAAAGGCTCAGGCCTAATCTGCGGGAGACGAAGGCAGAGGAGGTGAGATGGGGGAGGAGATGGTGGGGGAGGAAGGGAGCAGGGCTGTTGTAGGAGAAGAAGGGGAAGGGAGTGAACGGGAGGCTTCTGCAGGGGTGGCGGCTTGCAGGCTAGGAGAACTTGGGGGGGGCAGGGGGAGGAGGAGGCGGAAAGCTTCGATATAGGGAATCTCCTTCCATTTTTTCAGGTGCTGGCAGTAGTTAAAGAGATTGCGAGTGATGTTAGGTTCAAGAGTTCCCCCTGCGGGCCATTGGTTGTTATTGTCTAGGGGGTATGTTGGCCAATCTTGGAAGCAGTATTTACGGAGAAGGTTTGGTTTTATATCAGGTGTCAGGGAGAGGGTAGCCAGATGCTTAAGCAGGCATTCAAGAGGTGAACTTTCAGGGAGGGATGAGGAGGCTCCCATGGCTAAAGGACAGAGAAGGAGACAAACAGGGGAAGATGAATGGAAATCCTCGGACTGGAGGCAGACCACAAGGAGACAAAGGGCGTCCCCGATGATCCTTGGTGGTTTGCGGAAACTCGTACACGAGTCGGAATTTCTTAGGAAGTGTGGGTCGTCACCCAGACTTCCCTAAGAAGGCAGAGTGCTGGAGTCATGAGGTACCTAGTACTAGGAATTTTCGGCGGACGGAATGGATTTCGGCAGGCGGAACGGAAGGAGGAAGGGGAAAAGGGAGAGTTCTCATCTACAAAGGAGTCACCTCGTGAATGGCTGTTGAAGGAGGGGCCTGAGGGTCTGTCTCAGCTGTGAAGGCCTGAGGCGGCAATTTATGGCTGTTGGAGGGGGGCCTGAGGGTCTGCAGCAGCTGTGAAGGCCGGAGGTGGCAATTTATGGCTGTTGGAGGGGGGCCTGAGGGTCTGCAGCAGCTGTGAAGGCTGGAGGCGGCAATTTATGGCTGTTGGAGGGGTGGCCTGAAGGTCTGCAGCAGCTGTGAAGGCCTGAGGTGGGGAGAGTTCCCTCCTCATCCCCGAGCGTCAGGGCCTTGCCGGATGATGACGGTCAATGGCACTGCGATAGCTCGGGGAAGAGTGGCCCACTCCGGGGGAAAACTTACCTAAAGGCCAGAGAGGAGTGGTGAGTGTGATGAGCTAGCGCCGGAAAAAGAGGACGAGGGCAAGCTGCTGCTGGTGTTGGGGGGGAAGACGGGGCCCAGTTGGGGGGTCCCGTCTCCCGGGTTTCGGCACCAATGAAAGGAAAGGAGCGACACACAGCAGCAATTCACTGGAGAATTCCGCTTTATTAGGGAAAGGTGCTGGGTTATATAGGAAGGGGCATGGGGTGATTGTGGTGTTACTTCTATGGGGCTGGTAGCTATTGGCTAGGTGCTGGGATTGGGAGGGGGGCGAGAGGTGATTGGGCTTCAGGTGGCACCGGCGGGAACCGAGGACCCCAAAGAGAAGCCGGAAGTTCGCCATCTTACTGGTGGGGGCCCTTCAATGGGTATACCCATATCTGTTGAGTCCTTGCTTTCACTTCTTTTGGTTATATACCCAGAAGTGGAATTGCTGGACTGTTTGGTAATTCTATTTAATTTTTTGAGGATGAGCTATATTGTTTCTTGCAGTGGTAGCCAATGCCATTTAGTATTTCCAGCAGCAATGCCCAGGAATTCCAAAATCTGGGCATTGTTGCAGACACCTGTTCCTTCTTTTTTTTCTTTTTTTAATATCCATACAAATAAGTGTGAAATGGTATCTCACTGTGGTTGTGATTTTGCATTTCCCTAGTGATTAGTGACTGAGCATCTTTTCATATGCTTATTACCATTAGCATATCTTGGAGAAATAGTCTAGTCAAGTCCTTTGCCTATTTTTGAATTAAGGTTGTTTGTTTTTTTGTTACTGAGTTATATGATTCTTTATGTGTTCTGGATATCAATACTCATCACAGTTTTTGTTTGCAAATATTTTCTCTCATTCTGTGGGTTGCCCTTTCACTCTGTCAGTGATGTCCTTTGATGAACAAAATTTTTAATATTGATGAAGTTAACTTAATAATCTTGTCCTTTGTTATCTGTGCTTTTGGTGTAATATCTAAGAAATCATTGTTAAGTCCAATGACATAAACTTTTTCCCAAATGTTTTCTTCTTTTTATATTTTTAGCTCTTTGATCCATTTTGAGTTAATTTTTTGGTATGGTATAAGGTAAGAGTTTAACTTAATGCCTTTGCCTTTGTATATTCAGTTTCCCCAGTTTCCCCATTTGTTGAAAAGGCTGTCCTATCCCCATTGAATGGTCTTATCACTCTTGTCAAAAACTATTTGACCATATATCTGAAGGCTTATTTCTGGCTCTTCTGTTCTAGTCTGTTGATCTAGACGTCTTTGTTTTTACCAGTGCCATACTGTTTTGAACACCATAGCTTTGTAATAAAATTTGAAATTAGGACAACTTTGCTCTATTTCAAGATTGTTTTAGGATGAAGTTACTTATTTCTGCAAAGCCATCATGGGATTTTGATAGGGAACATTTATTTTTATACTTTCTTATATAGTTAATTACATTGTATCTCCTTTATTAGAATGTAATCTAAATGTTAGTGATCATTTTCAACCAATTCTTTTTTCCCTTGGCATCTTCTACAGTAGGTACTCATAAATACTTAGAAATGTTTTTATTGTCTGCCTTGGGAGAAATGACTCATTATTTTTAATCATTAAGTCAGAATTTTTCATTCTTTAGATCTTAGCTTAGGGAAACCATCCTGACTCCCTATATCAAATTAGGTCCCTGGCTCCGCATGCTCCAGTACTCTTCTTTCATGGTAGTTATACATCAGTAATTAAATACTAAACAGAATATTTTCCCCCTACTGGACAGTATGTTCCATGAGAGCAGGGTCTATCATTTGCCTATACCTATACAATGACTGGCTCACAGTGGATGTTCAGTAAATACTAGTTGCTGTCACTTCCTTGTGATTTGAATTTTACCAATTCATTCTCTCTTGGTAGCTAAATTCCCCATTAGGATTATACGTAAAATTAATTAATGCCCTCAGTACCTCCGGGGATGGCCAAGGACCATCTGTTTTTGAAAGTGTATCACTTTTTGGAGTAATTGTGCTAAAAATGTAAAATGAAAGAATTTATAATAACGTAGTTGTCCCAGCAAATACCTTCACAAATATTTCTTTGTGTTTTTATGTGATTATGGAAAACTGAGACATGTAAATTTTATATTTTAGAACCAACCAGTTTTGCTTTTTGGACGACCTCAGGGAGATGGTGAAATTCGAATAACCACTCTAGACAAGCATACAAAACAAGAAAGGTAAGAAAAGAGGAGCAATACTTATTTTCAAATTTAGTAATTAGCATCAGAATATACTATCAGGAAACCCTAAAAGCAATTCCTCCAGGACAAAGGAAGAAAGACCAACCTATGGTTTTCCAAAAATTTCTCATATAGAAATGTTAGGTATTTCCTATTCTGTTTTGGTATCTTGTTGATTTGTAAGTTCTTAAGAAATTGACAAACACAGAGTGTTGGCTAAGGTAAAAAAGTACACATTAAAATGAGACCAGAGAAAAAGTAACAGTAGATAACAACCATAAAAATACAATTGTTTGGTTTCTTATTTTTTTGGAGATGCATTTTAAAATAACTAAATATAAAATGCCCAAAGAAGGAAGTCTAAGTGAGGACAATTTAGTGAGATGTTCTTGAGAGAAGTGTGTAGGCGGCATCCTTGAAGGACTAGTGAGCTTGGGCTGGTGTCTCTAATTATATATCTGATTGTCAAATTGATCCATTTGATTCAAATAGCCATTTTCTGGAAACTTTGGAGTGAGAAAGCCTGCCAGCAGGGGGCAGCATCAGCTCTTGCTTCTGCCTCTATAACCAGACTCCACAGGTAGTTAGAAAGGTGTCCTTTTAGCCTCTCTAGGAAAACAGACTGAAAGTGAAGCAAGTATTAGAGCTATGGGAATGTGTCATTACCATTATCACTTTGAAAATATGTATGGTGTTAATCAATGAGAATATTTAAAAAAGATATAAATATTGATATTGGATGATTAGATATATAAATATCATATAGAAATAGTATGTATTTGTTTTCTCTCCAATTATATTGTTTATAATAATAAGAAAAATATCAACATGTAAGTTTAACCATCATTTTTCTAGTTTATGTTTGGTATACCACTCAATTTGTGTTGCAGGTGGTCCATTAAGTCATGAGGAACAATGTAGGTTAAAAATGCAGCTTCCACAATTAGACCCAGGTGTGAATTCTGCACTACACCTCAGGAGCAATGTGACCTTGAACTGACTATATAGCATCTCTAAGCCTCAGTTTTTTGCCCCAGTAAAATGAAGATGACAATAATACCTACCTCAGCAGATAGTCCTGGGGATTTAAATTAAGTGAGTCATCTTTGTGGAAGGGATGATGCTTCCCAAGGCATTCTGGAAGGCTCCTTGTAACATCGGGATAAGTTAACTGCTATTGTTGTCATTAATAGTTTTCTGTAAATGTTTGGCTTTTAAACTAAAAAAAAAGTAATTGCTTAGAGTAGCACATTGTGGCTTATCTCAATTATTTCTTACAGCAACTCTGTAGTGTACATATTATTATTATAATTTTGCTGTTTTTTAAATGAGGAAACTGAGATATCATAGGGCCATTTAGTAAAGGGTAATGCCAGGGTCCACACAGTTCATTCTTTTCAATGTGCAAAACTTTGTCTTTGACTCAAAGGAAAATGTTTGGTTGGTTTAATTAAATCTTACCAAGGAAGAATTAAAACACATGCTTCCAAACTATTGTAAATCAATATCTTTCCCTCTCTCTCTCTCTCTCACAGGCACATCTTCTTATTTGACTTGGCAGTGATTGTGTGTAAGAGGAAAGGTGATAACTATGAAATGAAGGAAATAATAGATCTTCAGCAGTACAAAATAGCCAACAATCCTACAACCGATAAAGAAAACAAAAAGGTGAATTCTTGGCAATTAATAGCTATAATTGACTCTTTGAGCAGTCAAGGAAAGTGTGCTGATACATTGAGAGCAGTGGTCTATCCATCCAGGTGTTTTCTAGAAACTGATTAGGAGCAAGCCTGAGAAATAATTGGATGGTGCCACAGCTGATATGATCATCTCTAATGCCTTAATGATCAAGGTAGTAAAGTGCATTTGACATAGAAATTGTTGTGAAATATGAAATTGACTACAGTATCTTGATTTGTTCTGTACAATGTTATGAGACATTTGTGGAGGCTTACGGTGGTGGGTTAGTAAATTTGGAAACATGATATTGATGAATGATACATATTAATCTGAAGAATATTAATTTTAACAGTGGTCTTATGGCTTCTACCTCATCCATACCCAAGGACAAAATGGGTTAGAATTTTATTGCAAAACAAAAGACTTAAAGAAAAAGTGGCTGGAACAGTTTGAAATGGCTTTGTGAGTATTTCTACTTTTAAAGTGTTTTTTTCTACTACTTAAATCTCTTACGAATAATGTACCACCAATCAATGTACTCTAATGCTTGTAACATGTGTACAGAGGCTGCAGAAACACTTGCTGGGAACATCAGTGCTACCAGGCTGTCTCGTAACTTTGTTCCCCTGAAAGGTTTTGGTGCATTTCTTCAAGCTAAAGAAAGAGGGAGCCCTAACCTTCTATTTGACTTTCTTCTCATGGGCATATTTTAATTCTTTAGATTTGAGCAGCCCATTAAAATATTAATTATTCTAATGATAAACTTTTAATAATTGCCATATCTTATATCTTAAAATTGAATAGAACCCTCCACCAAACACACATACACACACAAACATATACATACATGTATATGCACTTACCTGATTTTTAATAAAAAGATTGATTTCTTCCCCATTTGTTTTTAACTCATTTATTGTTTGAATTCTGAATAAATTGCTTATGTCATCAGTGAATGCTTTAAGGGCTTGATTTCTTTCAGTGCTTGTTCTTTTTATTAAAGTGGAAGCTCAACAAAGAGGTGGGAAATAAATCAGACCTGTTTCAAAAGGAATGGCATAAAGAGATGTTAATTGCACAAGAACATATCATTATAGGGGTTTCTTTTTAGTTTTGATGTTTATGGATTAAAGGGTACATAACCACCCTTGCTATGGAAATGTGTAGGCCACCCTGAAATTGCAATTGTTAGAAAAAGGTGAAATTAAGGAAAACGCTTTTGTGATTTGCTTCATTTGTAGCCTAGCATTATTTACCATTTGTGGACAAATTCTGTCAATTTGCTTTTTTTTTTTTTTTTTTTTTTGCCTTATTTTAAGAAATGCTCAGGTTTAAAAAAAAAATGGAGTTAGATTAGAATGTTTTATTGTAGTTCTGAAGAGAGAAAAATAATTTTCCTAAGATTATTTTATCTAGTATTTTGAGACATTGTACAGCTAAAATATTTTTAAGCTTATTCAGCAATAATCACTGTCGTGAATGGATTGCATAGTCTTAGCCAAGTTACTTGAGCTCCCAGCACCTCAGATTTCTCCTCTGTAAAATAGGGAACATAATACTTGGAATTCCCAATAATATAAGCTATGCAGAGTGCTAGTCAAGTTGTGCAACAACAGTGATATGGTACTGAATAAGTAATGCTACTGTTATCACTATTATAGTAGTGTTTTGTGTTTAGGATCCTAGTACACTTACAGGGACTTAGAAAATCAGAGGGCATCTTCCAGTGTAATATTATACTTCTTACAAATTTTTGTTACTAATCATCATAATGAAACGAAAGAGGTCAGTAGGTGTGTGCATTAATGCAAATGGTTATACGACTGTGCCCTTTGGTTTTGTGTGCAAGTGATGATGTTGGTGACATCTGTTTGCTGTCACTTCCTTGTGATTTGAATTTTACCAATTCATTCTCTCTTGGTAGCTAAATTCCCCATTAGGATTATACGTAAAATTAATTAATGCCCTCAGTACCTCCGGGGATGGCCAAGGACCATCTGTTTTTGAAAGTGTATCACTTTTTGGAGTAATTGTGCTAAAAATGTAAAATGAAAGAATTTATAATAACGTAGTTGTCCCAGCAAATACCTTCACAAATATTTCTTTGTGTTTTTATGTGATTATGGAAAACTGAGACATGTAAATTTTATATTTTAGAACCAACCAGTTTTGCTTTTTGGACGACCTCAGGGAGATGGTGAAATTCGAATAACCACTCTAGACAAGCATACAAAACAAGAAAGGTAAGAAAAGAGGAGCAATACTTATTTTCAAATTTAGTAATTAGCATCAGAATATACTATCAGGAAACCCTAAAAGCAATTCCTCCAGGACAAAGGAAGAAAGACCAACCTATGGTTTTCCAAAAATTTCTCATATAGAAATGTTAGGTATTTCCTATTCTGTTTTGGTATCTTGTTGATTTGTAAGTTCTTAAGAAATTGACAAACACAGAGTGTTGGCTAAGGTAAAAAAGTACACATTAAAATGAGACCAGAGAAAAAGTAACAGTAGATAACAACCATAAAAATACAATTGTTTGGTTTCTTATTTTTTTGGAGATGCATTTTAAAATAACTAAATATAAAATGCCCAAAGAAGGAAGTCTAAGTGAGGACAATTTAGTGAGATGTTCTTGAGAGAAGTGTGTAGGCGGCATCCTTGAAGGACTAGTGAGCTTGGGCTGGTGTCTCTAATTATATATCTGATTGTCAAATTGATCCATTTGATTCAAATAGCCATTTTCTGGAAACTTTGGAGTGAGAAAGCCTGCCAGCAGGGGGCAGCATCAGCTCTTGCTTCTGCCTCTATAACCAGACTCCACAGGTAGTTAGAAAGGTGTCCTTTTAGCCTCTCTAGGAAAACAGACTGAAAGTGAAGCAAGTATTAGAGCTATGGGAATGTGTCATTACCATTATCACTTTGAAAATATGTATGGTGTTAATCAATGAGAATATTTAAAAAAGATATAAATATTGATATTGGATGATTAGATATATAAATATCATATAGAAATAGTATGTATTTGTTTTCTCTCCAATTATATTGTTTATAATAATAAGAAAAATATCAACATGTAAGTTTAACCATCATTTTTCTAGTTTATGTTTGGTATACCACTCAATTTGTGTTGCAGGTGGTCCATTAAGTCATGAGGAACAATGTAGGTTAAAAATGCAGCTTCCACAATTAGACCCAGGTGTGAATTCTGCACTACACCTCAGGAGCAATGTGACCTTGAACTGACTATATAGCATCTCTAAGCCTCAGTTTTTTGCCCCAGTAAAATGAAGATGACAATAATACCTACCTCAGCAGATAGTCCTGGGGATTTAAATTAAGTGAGTCATCTTTGTGGAAGGGATGATGCTTCCCAAGGCATTCTGGAAGGCTCCTTGTAACATCGGGATAAGTTAACTGCTATTGTTGTCATTAATAGTTTTCTGTAAATGTTTGGCTTTTAAACTAAAAAAAAAGTAATTGCTTAGAGTAGCACATTGTGGCTTATCTCAATTATTTCTTACAGCAACTCTGTAGTGTACATATTATTATTATAATTTTGCTGTTTTTTAAATGAGGAAACTGAGATATCATAGGGCCATTTAGTAAAGGGTAATGCCAGGGTCCACACAGTTCATTCTTTTCAATGTGCAAAACTTTGTCTTTGACTCAAAGGAAAATGTTTGGTTGGTTTAATTAAATCTTACCAAGGAAGAATTAAAACACATGCTTCCAAACTATTGTAAATCAATATCTTTCCCTCTCTCTCTCTCTCTCACAGGCACATCTTCTTATTTGACTTGGCAGTGATTGTGTGTAAGAGGAAAGGTGATAACTATGAAATGAAGGAAATAATAGATCTTCAGCAGTACAAAATAGCCAACAATCCTACAACCGATAAAGAAAACAAAAAGGTGAATTCTTGGCAATTAATAGCTATAATTGACTCTTTGAGCAGTCAAGGAAAGTGTGCTGATACATTGAGAGCAGTGGTCTATCCATCCAGGTGTTTTCTAGAAACTGATTAGGAGCAAGCCTGAGAAATAATTGGATGGTGCCACAGCTGATATGATCATCTCTAATGCCTTAATGATCAAGGTAGTAAAGTGCATTTGACATAGAAATTGTTGTGAAATATGAAATTGACTACAGTATCTTGATTTGTTCTGTACAATGTTATGAGACATTTGTGGAGGCTTACGGTGGTGGGTTAGTAAATTTGGAAACATGATATTGATGAATGATACATATTAATCTGAAGAATATTAATTTTAACAGTGGTCTTATGGCTTCTACCTCATCCATACCCAAGGACAAAATGGGTTAGAATTTTATTGCAAAACAAAAGACTTAAAGAAAAAGTGGCTGGAACAGTTTGAAATGGCTTTGTGAGTATTTCTACTTTTAAAGTGTTTTTTTCTACTACTTAAATCTCTTACGAATAATGTACCACCAATCAATGTACTCTAATGCTTGTAACATGTGTACAGAGGCTGCAGAAACACTTGCTGGGAACATCAGTGCTACCAGGCTGTCTCGTAACTTTGTTCCCCTGAAAGGTTTTGGTGCATTTCTTCAAGCTAAAGAAAGAGGGAGCCCTAACCTTCTATTTGACTTTCTTCTCATGGGCATATTTTAATTCTTTAGATTTGAGCAGCCCATTAAAATATTAATTATTCTAATGATAAACTTTTAATAATTGCCATATCTTATATCTTAAAATTGAATAGAACCCTCCACCAAACACACATACACACACAAACATATACATACATGTATATGCACTTACCTGATTTTTAATAAAAAGATTGATTTCTTCCCCATTTGTTTTTAACTCATTTATTGTTTGAATTCTGAATAAATTGCTTATGTCATCAGTGAATGCTTTAAGGGCTTGATTTCTTTCAGTGCTTGTTCTTTTTATTAAAGTGGAAGCTCAACAAAGAGGTGGGAAATAAATCAGACCTGTTTCAAAAGGAATGGCATAAAGAGATGTTAATTGCACAAGAACATATCATTATAGGGGTTTCTTTTTAGTTTTGATGTTTATGGATTAAAGGGTACATAACCACCCTTGCTATGGAAATGTGTAGGCCACCCTGAAATTGCAATTGTTAGAAAAAGGTGAAATTAAGGAAAACGCTTTTGTGATTTGCTTCATTTGTAGCCTAGCATTATTTACCATTTGTGGACAAATTCTGTCAATTTGCTTTTTTTTTTTTTTTTTTTTTTGCCTTATTTTAAGAAATGCTCAGGTTTAAAAAAAAAATGGAGTTAGATTAGAATGTTTTATTGTAGTTCTGAAGAGAGAAAAATAATTTTCCTAAGATTATTTTATCTAGTATTTTGAGACATTGTACAGCTAAAATATTTTTAAGCTTATTCAGCAATAATCACTGTCGTGAATGGATTGCATAGTCTTAGCCAAGTTACTTGAGCTCCCAGCACCTCAGATTTCTCCT